TAAGCTTACTGTTTCAAAGCTTGTAGTTTGGTTTGTACTGGTTTGATATACTGAATGATAACACACATCCAGGGTCCAAACATATAAATAAATGAAGAATTAAAATTCAATTTGCTTTTTCAATTTAACAAATTGGCCGTGGAAAATATATATATATATATATATATATATATATACATACATGCATGAAAAATGAATATATGAATTATTGAATTCAAAACCTATATTATAAAAAAAATAACTAGTTTGCAAATCAAATTAGGATCACTGAGGAAAACTACTTTATTGTAGGCATATAATAATAACTTACCTTTAATGAGTGGTTCTATTTTAGATGTTGATTCCTCATGTGGTATCATATCCATCAACTTAGAAATGTCTTCAGCCATCATTTTATCAACTACTTCAAGAAGTTTTAATTTCAACGGATGAAATTTTGTAAAATCATGATGTTGTAAGCATTCTTGCATTTTTTTGACATCTGGAAAATCGCCTGGAGATATTTGATGCTCCCTTTGCAGTTTTTCATAAGTTTGTGGTAAATGTTTTATCAGTTCCTTTTTCTTCCCATCTTTTCCAAATACTGAAGGCATCTCTTTGCGTAATTCAGATATTATATAAGCATGAACTTTGGCCAGTCTTGCTCTTTTAATCAAATCATTTAACTTTCTCAAAGCAGCATTGCGTGGAAGTGATTGCATGTCTTTGAATAAATCTTGCTCTTCATCTTCAAATAATCGCCGATTTACATCATACCTCAAAGGCTGATCCCAAAATGATCCTATATAAACTCGAGCAACTTCTGGTGTTTGAAGCACTTTTCCCAGTGACCACATCAATGCCCCATAAACCCTCATTAATTGCTGATGATCAATCATATCAGCTTTGTTTAATACAATGCGAATTTTGTCATCATGGCCTCGTAAAGCTTCAATTGATCTTCTAAATTCATCTGATATATCTAACTTATGTGCATCAAACAGCAGTATTATACGATCCACTCTCTCTGCAAACCATTCAAGAACCCCAGTAAAATCGTATCCTCTATCCACACGCTGTTTCTCACCGGATAATATACCAGGCGTATCCACTATTGATATTCCTTTAAGTACAGGTGAAGGTAAAGTAGAACATTGAAACCTATTAAGAAAAGCATTGCCAAATTTGCTTAAAGGCCGAAATTGTTTTTTGGGATCAACAACTAATGCATTACCAGGTATCACGCCCTCTTTATCATCATACATAACGGCTATAAATCTATCAGTGGTCGGTTCAGGACCAATTCTGATTCCAGGAAATTCTCTTTCTAATAAATATTTGATGAAAGTAGTTTTTCCGGTGGAATATTGACCTACTAATAATATTAAAGGCTTCGCATCGAAATCTGGATCATCTAACATGGGTGAATGAAAGTCGTGAAACTGATAATGCTGTTCCAAAGGTAACAGCTTTGTTTTATATATCTTTTTAAGACCTTCCACAACATTATCGTACAATTGCTGCTTTTCGCCTTCTTTAGATAACCAACTAAACATTTTTAATTAATAATTTTAGTTATAACCACAAATTTGTCATACGTCAAAGTTGCGTCAAATACAATTTGAACGCCCTCTTGTCAAAACACCGTCACTATTCCACCGAAAATACTGCCACACTGAAGCTCGGGCTCACACACGGATTCCCATTGTGCATTGACTCTTATCAGAAAGAGCTATTGCCACGTGTTAATAGATTTCGACACGAACACGATCTTCTGATCTGGCAACAAAAGCTGAATACTTTCTTATATCATCGGGCAACACTCGTATCAACAAAAGTCCAGTGCTCACAACATGAAAACCAATTATTATTGACTTGACATTGTTCAAATGTCATAATCAAATAAAAATAAGAAATTTGCCTGGTCCTAAAATGCCAAAGGCAAAGAAATCGGCAACAAAAGCCAAATTAAGAAAAACTCAACATGATTTATTACAATCTTGCAGATTGTGTGGGATAATAGGTGGAAATCGGGTTCCTATCATTCAGGAAACAATGACAATAGGCGATGATACTTGCATAGATGAAAGTAATGAAATACAAATTAACAAAAAAATTCAAGACTGTTTATCCATTGAGGTAAACATAGAAAAATATTTTTATTAGTTGCATTTCATAAGCATGTTTGATACAATAATTATAAGATGCATTGCCTTGTCAGATTATATATTACAATGATTGATTTTTAAGCACAAAATAAAATAACTTCTATTTAATGTATCTATATTTATCGCACTAATTTAATTTGTTAACATCGATTTTATTTATTAAACAACTTTTTCTGAGTTTATGATTAAATATATAGAGTAGTAAATAATTAAATAGAACTGTCTATATATAAATATATTTTATTCATATATTATTTATTTATTTAGATATTTGTGTAATACAATAACAATACATGCATCTTTAATCATTAATACAGGTAAAATATGGAGATAATTTGCCACCACTTATTTGTGTTATTTGCTTAAACAAATTGAATGATTTCTATGAATTCCGAATTATGTGTTCTGAAACTAATATAAGACTACACAAGGCTTTGGGTATATCTATAGATAAACCACAGCCTGTTGGAATGGTTGTTTCTGTAAGTATTAAATATCATCAACTAATTTAGCACAAATTAATATTTATAATTTAAACTTAGACTGGAACTGCGGACAATCAGTTAGATTGCATTCTTGGTGTAGCAGGACCAGTATTTTTTCAACCATCTTCATCTACAAATAAAGAAGTAAACAAAAAAATAACACCAATAAAAAAAGAAAGTAAAATTAAATATAAAGCACCTGAAGGTAAAATACAATATTTTTCTATACTAAATATCTTATTATATTATATATTAAATTATGAATGTGTCAAAAAATGTAATATGTGATAAAGTTTAAAGGTGAAATTAAATTTATCTTTTAAATTAGGCTCAATTTGCTTAGATGATATTTTAATAGTCTCTGTAGAAATCAAGTATATTTATCGATATATAATCAAGCTAATTTGTTTTTGGTTTGATTTGCTTAGCAAATGATGAAGATGATGACAAGCCACTAATAAAGAGAGTTAAGGTTAAAAATGAAATTCTTGGGCCAATTTTAGAAGTCAAACCCCCTAATAAACGAGAACGCAATAGGAATAGAAAATTGGCAGTGCTTGAAAAGTAATTTTAATATGACTTTTTGATTTTAAAAGATATTACAACATTTTGATTAAAAATATATAATTTGCAGATTTTTCATTAAAAAGAAATTGGCTTTAAGAAATAAATCGATCATGGCCTCTAATCAAGCTGAACCGGTTGCAAAAAAAATAAAGAAAAAGAAACTGCCTTTTAATTGCAAGGTGTGTTCAGAAAGATTTGCTTCTCCAAATATTCTAAAGTAAGTTTTTTCATATTTTTTATGCATATTGTATAATTACCATGTATTTTGATGTAGTTGGAAGGATTTATATAGTTTTTATCAATAATTATAGTCAGGATTATATTAACATGTTTTTGTTTTGTGAATTTGAAATGAATTATTAGTAGTAATTTCCTGAAATTCTCTCTTGGCTTTTGTTTAAACAGTCATCATTATTGAATAGACAGGAGTTTGAATCCATTCTTAATATTTCAATATTAAAAGAAACAATCAATAAATTGCACTTGTGTCGTACTTTTGCTTTTTATATGTGTACCTCAAGCAAGTATTTATTTAAGCAACATTTGGCCTTAAGGCAATATTTATGAACTTTCCTATAAAAATATGTGATTTAATTGACTTAAACAACTGAAATTGAGTTTTAGCTATTTAGATAAAAATTTGAACTTCTTAATTCTAAAATAAATTTTTTGTTTCCACTAAAAACTAAACATAGAGATTTTCATTTAATATTTATCAAACTCGTTTATAATATATGTTATTATATTAATTAAGTCCTTAAAAATATGCTAAATCTCTAAAAAAAAAAAAAACACGGGCCCACTGGCTGTCTATCAAAAAAAAAACAGCCCCACCCATCAAAAATTTGGTTTCGACGCCACTGCTTGTATGTCTTGAAAGTGCTCAGACATTGAACCAATTTTTATAGGACTGTTTAGTGCATGTATTTTATTATCATGTTAAACTTTATTAAAAAAGCCGAACGCTTTTTTTTTAAGAATCTTAATAAATTATTTTGTGAAATATTAACAGGCCTAATTCATTATTAGGTATATTAAGTATATATAGTTGTACACTCATTGATGTAGAGACAGCTACAAAGAATATATTAAAGTAGTTATTAATTAATTTCAGTGAACAAAGCATAAAAGCATAAACTTAAGATAGCAAGATTTTTGCGCAAACGGTTATAAAAAAAAAGGGTTTTGCTAATTCCAAAGAAACGGCCTTTTTTCAACATTTAATTTCCGAAGAAACGGTCCGATCTTTACCAAAAACGCGCGATATTCAGCCAATATATTTCGGAACAGTTTTTGAATTTTCAAAATCGATTGACGATTGCAGGCTAAAACGTGTATGAAAAGTTTTTTTTACTTTTCTTCTTATTACAAGAGAACAGTTTGACCGATCATTTTACAAAACAAACTAGTTGGTATTGGTATTTTGCCTTGAGGCAAGTTACATGAACTTTCCGATATGTGTAAATAATCGACCTAATCAATAAAAAATTAAATAATTCTGAATTAGTTATTATTACACATAATTGAAAACGAACGAACACGTTAACTCAGAGTACTGTCTAAAAGCAAATTTTCAAAAATCAATAATTTATATAATTTTACCAGTTTCCGTTGAACTTTAATGGTTTAGTATGTTCAGTAAGACCAAGTACTCTATCGTTATACCAAGTATTTTAATTTTAACAAATGTCAAAAAAACTACTCATTTTCTCAAACTTTGATGTATTTTTAAAATGAAACTACTTGTCGTAAGGCCGCAATGTTTCAATAATTGTATAAGACCATGATAAATATCATCAAAAAAAGTTTCATAAAAATCGGCTCAATTTTTCTTTCAACATCGAAATACAAGAAAACGGCTCGGTAGATCGAACAGTTTTTGATTTTTTAAAATCGATTCGGTAGTATGAGATTGATGTGGACAAAAAATTTACCACTTTTTTGCAAATTATAAAGAAACGGCTTGGCAGATCGTTGCACGAAACTGACAAACAATAGTCCTCATTGAGATACATCAATTGACTTTTAAATTTCTGAAATCGGTTCAGGCGTTTTTGAGAAAACGTCGATCAAAGGTCTAATTTTGACAAATGCCAAAAAAAATGATACTAATTTTTGCAAACTTTGACGAATTTTAAAAGTGAAACGACTTGTCGTAGTGCTGTAATATTTAAGTATGATCTATAAGACTATGGTTGCTACCGTCAAAAAAATCATAAAATCGTAGAATTTTTTTTTAAACTTTATTACAAGAAAACGGCCCGGTCGATCTTTACCAAAAACTAGTCAGCACGATTCCTAACTAATATCTTTCGAACGGCTTTTGAATTTTTAATATCGATTCAGAACTGCGGGCTAAAACGCGGATGAAAATTTTTTTACTTTTCAGGGATTTACAAAGAAACGGTTCGGTCGATCGTAGCGCATCGCAAACTGACAAACGATCGTCCTCATCGAGGTACATCGAATGGGTTTTAAATTTTTGAAATTGTTACGGCCCTGTTTGAGAAAACGTCGATTTAAGGCAAAAAATCTGTTCACATACACACACACACATACACACTTTTTCCAAATTTGGTCTCATTCGGTTCAGAATGGCTTGAAACGTCGAGAAAACATAAAATTAGCAAATCAGATTTTTTGATGAAAACATAAACTTCTCCTTCGCAAAGTTAATAAACGCGAAGTTTTATTAAGATATATCAAATGGCCTTTAAAATTTGGAAATCGGTGCAGGATGAAAGATAAAAAAAAACGGCTCACATACACAAACGTTTTTGCCGAAAATGTAAACTTCTCGTTCGGGAAGTTGTAATACTCATTACAAAATATGTGGAATAGTTCTGCTTCCTGAAGAAGATAATGTTTTCGTCAAAAAATTCGATTTGCTAATTGTATGTTTTCTCGGCATTTCAAGCCATTTTGAATCTAATGAGACCAAATTTGGAAAAAGTATTTGAGGTTTTTGATCTTTCGTCGACGTTTTCTCAAAAACCATTTGTTGTAACTCGATAAAAGGACTAGCGTTTGTCAGTTTTAGATCAGACGATAAGTCAAGCCGATTTTTTTTTGTAGATAATAGAAACTTTTTCGCAATTTTGAATCGATTTTAGAAATTCGAAAAGTGTTTTCGTATTGATTGGGAATCGTGCTGATTAGTTTTTGGCATAGATAGACCGGGCCGCTCTCTTGTAATAAAATGTTGAAAAAAAAAATCGACGTTTTTTATGAAACTTTTTTTGGCGGTAGATTACATGGTTTTATGCTTTAGAACATACTAAAATATTACTGTTCCATGTCAAGCCGTTTAATTTTAAATATGCTTCAAAGTTGGAGTTTAGCGCGACATTTATTAAAATTACATCTTTCATCTAAGTTTTTTCAAAAACTGCTAAATCGATTTTAAAAATTCAAGAAATTCAAGAAAGAAAGATTGGCCGAAATATTTTTTTAGTAATTGACTGTTGACAAATAAATTA